TGGGGGGGGGGGGGGGTTGTGGGGCTGGGCGGGAGTTGATGAGGGGTTAAGAAAAGGGTGTTTTAGCCTGAACCCTGACGTTCAGTGGGTACGTTTTTATTTTTGTTTTTTGTTTTGTCTGTATAGCTTTTCTCCCCTCAGAAAAAAAGATAAGTCTATATATATTTAAATATATATGTAGGCTTCTGACCTCGCTACCTCTAATTATTCTTACGAACTCTATGTTGTTTAGTTGAAAGTTCCTATGTAATTAATTGTAAAAAGTGTGTAGATTATGGTAACTTTTCACCTGATGCTTTAACCTGCCCATCTCTCAACACAGGTTTTTAATGCTCATAGATTTTACACTTTAATATTATTTTAGCTGTGGTTTTTACATGTCAAATATAGCTTTTTGGGGGGTGCCCTGCTCAGTGTGGCCCCCCACTTCAAGGTGTACTGTAGCTACCTGCCTGGAGCAAATAGTAGTTAGTTAGTTTAGATGTATAGTGTTCCAAAGATCTTATGAATGTTAAGGAGAACAGAGCTAACTAACAAACATTGCTAGACAAGTTCATAACCAAAGTTTTTAAAAGATGTACTTAAGATATATAGCATACTAAATTATTTTTCTTTTTCTTTTTTTTTCTTTTTTTTGTTTTTGTTTTGCTGTATAAAACAAATTATGAATTATATTCTATGTCCAGACAAGGAAATCCACTCTAATGGAGTTTTTGGCCAATGAATGATGAGGTTTGAGGAAGATTCCTGCGGTTTGCAAGGAAAGCTTGTGCTGATTGGTGGGCCGGTGTGATGTAAAAAAAACTTTACCACCCTGCGAAACTGGTAGTTTCAAACGTGTTTCCTTGTCTCTATTTGTTTGTTTTCACAGTCCTTATCACTTTATATTGTTGATGATATTTTAATGTGTTTTGTTCAGACCAAAAAAAGAGTTTAAACTAGGAGCTATTATGAAAAGTCTAATGTGAAGTTAATTTTTTTTCTTCTTCTTCTTCTTGTTTTGAGCCAGACTTGTGAAAACTTGTAATAGAAGGGAGATGCACTGGACAGCTGGACAACTCATTGTCCCACGCGGCATCCTTTGGTGTCTGATTGTATTTCATTATAACACAGAATGATGATTTTTAAATTATTATACACTTCTGAAGTTTACCTCACCGGGGAATAAGCGCCTCAGTTGTCTGTAGGTTTCTGCCTGAAACCTGTCCAGTGTATCTGCCCTAAAGAGTTTCGCTGAGAACCATAAACCTTTACTACAAGTTTTTGTTATAGGCATTCCTCTAGTCATATGTTGGACTTCCTGTCCACTCTCTTTTTTTTTTTTTTTTTGTCATAGTGATAGTAACTGCAGTTTCAAACATCTCTCTTTTGTAAGGTACCTGCACAGACTCACAAGAGTTTTTTTTTTTTTTCGTTTGGCGATTGCATGGTACATCTTTGTAATTTTCACACTCCTAACCCTCCTCACCCCCCTTCATGCCCCCTTTACTTGAACATATGTTATTGTATCTCCTGATCCATTGATCTCTTCTGGCACAGAAGGGGAGCCTGCAGTGCATTGCCTTTCAAACATAATTGTACTTGTCAGCACTTACTGCAGTACAACATAATAGCTGTCATGCAAAAGTTTTTTTTTTTTTTTTTTTTTTTTTTTTTTTTTTTTTTTTTTTTTTTTTTTTTTTTTTTTTTTTTTTTTTTTTTTTTTTTTTTTTTTTTTTTTTTTTTTTTTTTTTTTTTTTTTTTTTTTTCTGGAACGAGACCTTTAGCCATCCCTGCAGACGACTTTGCAGTTGCATTTGAATGCTTGTTTGACATAACGAAGAAAAAAAACAAACAAACTAAGAACTCCAAACTGTGACCATATTATTACTACTACTACTAGTACTACTACTATTACTACTAATATTCAAATACTTCAGGGATTGTTCTGCATCGACAGATGCAGGCTCTCAGCTACATTTGTAAGACATAGTATTGTATGGATTTCTCCGTATTTTAATCATGAAAAAGCAAAACACTAGTTTCATACCTAAAACAAAGGGGGGAGCTTTATCAACTAACACAAAGAGCCTTGACAAAGGCGGGCAGCTTGAAACGAGTCGATATTTTAGTTAGTAACACGCTATGTTCTGAAATAGTTGCAAAGTTGTACAAAGAACTAAGAAGAAAAAAGAAAAGCTCATACCCAAATCCACAAACTATTTTTTAAACCAAAGCACATTTGAATGATTATGGAACCATTTGTGGCTCTGAAAAAAAGAAACATGTGTATTTATCTCATTGTTTACATAAACTCTTACAGTTTTACAGACCTCAGTCGAGGCTTGGCCAGTCGGGGGTGGGTGAGGGGGGTATTTTTGTGGATATTTGTGTTTTTAAAAGGATGCTTTATCACAGAACATGCTGCCAAAATGAAAGGATAGCATTGTAGGTAGGTTGAACTGCTGCATATTCAGCGAGAGGGAGTGGTTGGCGTTTGCAGGGACACGTTCCCTCCTTCTCCTCCCTCCCGCTCCTCCTGCTCTGCCAGCTGGCTTTGGGGTGACCCTGCGCCCCCGGTCCTCCTGCCCTCTGGCCTGTCTTCAGATGGAGCTGCTGTGTTGGGGGGTGTGCAGTGCATCCTTGATGTATTAATCAAAAGGCAGGCATTGTTAGTCCAGGGTCTATAGCTGAATATCGTGTCTTTTTTCGTCTTTACCCAATTGCACTTGAGGGCCAACTCTGCTGCTTGGGTTTCTTTTTTTTTTTTTTCTAATTCTGTAGAAGGAGGTGCTCGTGTTTTTCGGTAAGACGGTACATCTCTTCTGCTGGTGGTCCCGGAAACATATCTGAAGAATGTAGCTTGGATTTTTTTTTTTTTGGTCACTGCCTGACAAGCAGGCTCCTCCGGTCACCTGAACTGTGAATGTGAACGCTGTTTTTGTGCTTTTATGGTCATTTAAAAAAAAAAACCTCTGTCCTCTTAGCTGCCTGTGTTCTGTGGTGTAAAAGCAGCACAAATCTCTGACTGGCCAGGTCTCATACCACGTTGGTGCAAACACTTATTGACAGTGTTCTCTTTTCTTTCTTTTTCTTTTTTTTTTTTTTATCAAATGTCTATTGTCAGTGATGAATGTATTTATTTCCGGCCCTGCCCACCCCTCTGCAAAGATTTAGCTCAGTGTGTGAGACTGAGGTGGAGGCAGGACCTCTTTTATTTTTATTTTTTTGGATTTCAAGCTGAGAATCAAATACGAGACAGTACATAGCCATCAACCACGATCTGTGAAGTTGACCTATATTGTTTTTTGTGGGAGAAGTGTTTTTTTTTTTTTTTTCAAACTCAAAAAATGGTCTATGGCATTTAATATCTTCTATTCTCAGTTGTATCTGACCTGTCTTTGGGTTTTAATTTCATGTGATTCACTGTGGCTGTTTTTTTGGCCCATGTGTTCTTGAGTTCTCGTTGAATGATTGCACACTAGGGGGATTGAACTTTAACCCTCGTGTGTGTGTGTGTGTTTGTGTGTGTGGACACGGGCAGGACGCTATGACCCGCCTGTGCAGGACGGAGGTTACTGTATCTTTTCCAAGCGTGCTCTCCCTGGGTGCTGCCGTACCGCTGACACTAAGAAACGGCAACTCATACGCATCAGCAAAAACACCAGGTTCCTCTGCATTTCTCATCTTTAACCGCTCGCCGCTTTGTCCGACTCTTTTAATGTAACAGGTGTTTTTTTTATTGTCTGTCTATTTTACACTGGAGGATTTTAGAAAACCTTGGGTGAGATAGCTTTAATAAGTGCACTTTGTATGTTTTTCAAAGCCTCTGGGATGTTGAAGGACCAGACTCTTTCATATCTGCTCCACTTTTACTCGTTGTCTCTCTTCACAAACTTCACCGTCGCTGTGTGTTGTTTGAAACGGCATATCATTATGCAGTGTTACCAAAGCTTTAAAGACAGAAATTTCAAAGCAGGAAACTCTATTGAGACTATGCTCGACCCTCAGCGGTCCGTTTGTTGTCTCTTTCTTTCCTTCGCTGTTTTGCCATGGACGGTTTTCTCTCCCTATCATCTTCTCCTGTAGAGTAGCAGGGCTGGTCTGTCTAGTTGTTGTGCATTTTTCCTTCTTACCTCGGCAGACTTAACCAAAGCCGGTTTCCAAATGGCCTTCAGTGCCATTAAAACCTCGTCTAAGCTTTATTGACCCTCACTTTATCTCCGATACACCTGACCCTCCTGCTTGAGTCCACATTAGTATTTTCTGAAACGCACAGGCCACGTTCATAAGTATTAACTGAACCTCCTCAAGAGGATGTGCAGTAGTGACACAAAATTACCTCAAACGTTTTGTTTACAGAAATTGTATTTATTCCTTATCCGTCATTTCTTCATCTATACTGTTCGCCGTCCATCTGTTACCAAATACCTTTTCTGAAATGGCGTATGTGTAGTGCCATGTTTTCATACATAACTTTTCATTACTTTGTGACTTTATCGAGGCGCTACATCAACGAGAGGACATGATTAGCTGCTAGAGATACAATACTTGAAGGGTTGATTAGTGGAGGTGCCCATGATATGGGTGTATCAAGCTTCCTGCTGGTCCATTTTCTTCAGGAACTGCCTCTCAATAATGTATCAGTATGGGTGGGCTGAGAGGCTCTGAAATGGACATGTAGTGTCTTTGCTGATGAATAATTGAAGGCCAGGAAGCCCCCTCCTCCCCCCCTTTGGTAAACACTCTTCATATGCAAAGGTGTATGCACCCAGGTCCACTTTAGTTGGCGTGCATTCTCATGAGATTACTCATTCGTACAACGCGGCGGCCATCTTGACTTCAAACACAACCAAACTTCCACCTACACACACACCAATGTATGTGTCTCTGTGTGTGTGTGTGTGTGTGTGTGTGAGCGTGATTGTCTCGACCCTCCCGTGGCTTTTTGGCAGCACCCAGGCCGAGCCTTA